AGTATCGGATATCACAACCCCTTTTTGCTAGACCAGTTAGATAAAGTCTCATTGGATGTGCTTAAAAGACAGAGAAAGCCTTTGGCTGTGTTGTCTCTACTATGTATCCTTAGGGTAGTGTAAGTGAGGTTATTCAGAAGATTAGGAGGTAAAATAAATTGTGAAATGATGCATTTATGGGGAAGGTATCTAAATATATACTGTGTACCTCACTTTGTACTGGGCATGAAATCTCACATTTTGCCCAGCCTCCCTAAGAAGGAGGAAACAGAGGCTCCAAGAGATACATCAGTTTGCTCAAATTGATACAGATTGTAAGTGTCAGAGTTAGAAACTAGATCCAGGCCTATCTGACTCCCAGATGTTGCTCTTTTCTGTCCAGCCATCTTGCCTTCCCCTACTCTCTGCCCATGATGGTGGAAAGATAGAGAACCGTCATGATCTGCATCAGCTCCAGAGGTTTGAGTGGATGCTAGCAAATGAAATTATGAAGGGAGGTTATTTTGCACTGAAACTGTAGCAAAGGTGACTGTGTGAAGTCTCTGCCTTTTTTTAGGGCTTGGAGACTAACAATGGGACTACAGCACTTCTAAGAAGATTATTCACTGCCCTAAGAGTAAGGGGGCAACGAGTGGCTCTTCTCCTCTGAGGTATCCCCCCTCCTCCAAACTCCCCACCAACTGGAAGTGCTTCAGTGAAGGCTCAGCAAGGCTTCTTCAAAGTTGCCTTAAACCCTTAGCTATTTGTGATTGGGAATACAGGCTACTTCTAGTCTCCTCTTCTACAGTTTCTTCTTGACAAATAATAGTCTTCCTGGGCTCAAAGCCCGTCTCCTCCAGGAAACAGGCCCTGACTAACCCCTCTCAGCTTGGCTCACATCCTCATTTATAGTTTCCATTATATTATCATGGACTTCCCACTAATTATATATGCTGGGTACAGCATTAATTCATTTAATCTCCATAACACTCATTCGTTCATCAAATATTTATTACCTACAATGCATCTATAATATTTTAAGAACTGACCCATGCTCCAGGGACACAAAGGTTAGTAATCACAGACTTGTTCTTTTGAGTGTGTGTGTTTGATGGTGGTGGTGATGGGTAGATATAAACTTGAATGGAGAGAAGCAGGGTGCAAGAAAAATCCCTTGACAAGTGTGGTCCTTTTGCGGAAAGAAAGAAGACCAATATGGATAGATCAGAGAGGTCATCAGGGATGAGACTATGTGGGTCCTGGAGTTCTTGTAAATATTCTGGATTTTATCTAAGGACAATGGGAGGACATCGGAGAGTTTTGGGCAAATATGTGTGTTCTGAGCAGACTTAAGGCAGACATAACGTTTATCTCTTTTATGAGTCAGGAAGCAGGGACTCGGATGTCTTGGGTCACACAACTAGATAGTGGTTTGGCTAGGACTTAAATTCAGGTTACTTTTATTCTTAAACATTCAAGTGAATGCTGCTATGTTCTCCTTCTTTCTCCCTTCTTAATTCTGAAAAGAAACCATCCACTTCTGGAATATAAGAAGGAATTGATTAGAACTAACATTAAGGTCCTACTGTGTTTCAGATATTGTTATCTTACTTAATCACGTTGATCCTATAAGGGCAGGTCTTATTATCCCTGTTTTCAAGATGAGATAACTGAGGTTGAGAAAGTTTGGTAAAAAGTCCTATTGTTAGAAAGTAGAAGGCAGGGATGTGAACCCATTCTGTCTGACTCCAAAGTTTAGATGAAACCCCAAACACCGTACTGTTACCATAGTGTCCTCTCCACCTGAAATTGATAAGAAAGGGGAGCAAGACTGAAATTACCCCAGGCAGGGTCTTCTACAACAATACAGGTGAGAGATGAAGGTGGGGATGGATACAGTAGCTTCTAGGTAAAGAGGAGTAGGAATGGAATATCAAATACATTTGGGCATGAGGTAGAGGGAAGTCTCCTTGGCTGACATAAGTCCTGGGGAAAGGATGATGTCATTCTTCCCAAGGAGCAGGTCTGTGGGAGGAAGGGTAGTGCTGCAGTGCTCCGTTCATTGCTGGGGTAGGCAGGTGGTAAGTGAATTTGGAGGTCTGTGGAGAGGTCTGGACCTTTTGCCTCTGGCAGAAAAGGCTTTCCTTTATTGAACAGATACAGAATGAATGCTTGCTGAAACAATGATTCATCTGCTTTGATTTATGACCACTAATGTTGCCAGTTGAGCCTTCTTTGCCGGCAGGCTCACATTCCTAATATTATCTACTTTCTCATCACCTTTGTTCTCTTTCCTGGGGACAATCCAGTATGCTTCCCTGGATCAGAATGTGGGTGGATAAAAATGCATTTAAAAAGGTGTTTGTAATAAAAGACATTTTTTTCTACCTTATAGTTTGAGGAGTAAAAGATAATTCACAAAGCCCTAGTTCATTCAAGGAATCATAGCAAATCCCCAAAGCATTGCCTTACACATACTAAATCAAATGCCTGACTTTTAAAATGGGAACCTACAATCTCTTGGCAAAAAAAAAAAAAAAAAAAAAAGTAAGTGTGATTTATCACTCCAATTTTGCAGTCTATGTAATGCAGGCATTTCACTTCTGGAGATGAATAGTCCTACTTGCCTCAAAGCAGACTGTAAACGTTTCATTCGTGACCAGACAACTTGACTTTTAATGACCTGCAACCAACTAAAATAAGCACACAAAGTTACGGCTACTACCAGGCAGCAAGACGTTATTCCTCAGTATCCCAGCAACATTCTGTATTTCTCTGAAATTGCTTTTTAAAATCTCATAACTACAGAATAATCTTATAATATAAAATTGTGGAACCTGTACGGTAGGAGGTTGTTAAATCTTTTTTTTTTCAGGTTTTTTTTTTTTTTTTTTGAGTTGGAGTCTCACTCCGTCGCCCAGACTGGAGTGCAGTGGCCGCTCCCGGCCACCGCAGCCTCGACCTGCTGGGCTCCGGCGATCCTTCCACCTCAGCCTTCCAAGTAGCCGGAATTACAGGCATGTGCTACCACGCCCGGCTGATTTTTTTATTTATTGTAGAGATGAGGTCTTGCTGCCCAGGCAGGTCTCGAACCCACGGGCTCAGGCAATCCACTCACCTCAGCCTCCCAAAGGCGCGGGGATTACAGGCTGAGCCACCGAGCCCGGCGGTTGTTAAATCTTAAATTTTAGATGCCCAAACAACAATATCAAAAAGGATCCAATATGCTGTTCTCATTGCAAAGTAAATATATGTCATTCTTTACTTCATCAGCAGAGAGTTAACTATGGATCGTCCGCTGAAGACAAGGCATCATCATGGCAGTGAATCACAGGTAGGTTCTGCTCTGACTCACAGTGCTTGTCATATCTCTAACAGAATAGGGCTGCACTTGATAAATGCCATTTTCTCCTCTCACACTGATGATGCCAGAACTGTTTACAACTTCAGTCGGTGGGTTCAGCACGACAATTTTACTCAACAATGGAGAAAACTCAGATGTACAAGGACTTAATTGTCAGAACAAAACTAATGATCTGGGATTCAGGCCCTGAACTCTGCTCTGGAAAGACCCGAGAATCACTTGGCAGCAAATCTCAAACAAATTCTGAAACAAACCTGGCCTTGGAGTGTGTGCCAAGGAGAGTTGCCAGACTCCATCAGGATAAATAAATCTGCTATGACATCTTGTTGGATTTTATACCCACCATGAGCAAAGCTGGGGTTCATCCTAATGGCATATGGAACTCATGAAACAGGGTCCAATTGGAGTCCTTCTGTGACTCTCACCTTTTTAAGGGGTTTTGGGAAAAGTGTACGTGGAGAAGGTTGATTTCACTGAGGCGGGGGACCATGCCTGGGAAATGACACAAGCCTGAAGATATAGAAAAGCTCCAGTAGCTCCAGGGCGAAGAGGCAAGGACTTCTGGAAGCCACCAGAAGGTAGTGACTGGTGATTGGTTACTTGGTCTGCATAGCATTCAGACAAGTGGAGTCTACCTACAAATGAAGGCTAGTTTCCTAACACTCTGGAAATTAAAGTAGTTTTCAGTGCTAACTTATCTATTTGTTCTTTTTTAGAAGAGGATAGACCCAATCTCCAAGGGCCTTTTTGACTAGAAAAATGGACTCCTCTATCCTGCTCTAGGATGGGAAAACATGGAGACTTCTCCTGAGACTACTCACGTTTTGGAGCCATAAATGGAAGAAAGCAGAAATGTCTTTTCCTTGGGACAGGTCCAGTGGACACCACATTATAAACATTGTAATAATTACTTATTATCTAGAGTTAATGATGACTAGGCATCTATATACTTAATGCACATTTTTCATTTTAGCCTCATAAATGCCTTAAGGGGAAGAGATCATTATATTCTTTTACAAATAAGGAAACCAGAGTAAGGAGATGTTTATAAATTGCCTAAAGTCACACAAGTAGGATGTGAACACAGAATTGACTTCAGCTTAACTGTCTCTGAAACACCAGGGACCTCAAGCTGTGGTGAGGAGAAAAGTTCAGATTCCATTAGAGTCACAAAGCTCACCTTATTCTCTCTATGAAATGGATGGTTCCCAGTTGACCCTGATAGTCTTAGTTCGATTCTTCCATCAATGTGAATTTGAGGATTAAATATATCTTTTGATTCCCTATTAGACTCCACAGGATGCCAAGTGCATCTGATGTGCAACCTTCATGAAAACTCTCATTAGCAGTTCTGTTGACCGTGTACTAAAACAGGGTTTCCCAAAGTGTGGTCAGCAACATCAGCACCACCTGGGAACTCATTAGAACTGCAGATTCTCAGGCCCTGCCCCAGACCTGCTGAGTCAGAAATTCTGGGGTAGGACCCAGCAATCTGTGTGTTAACCAGTCCTGCAGGTCATTAGTGGCATGCTAAAGTCTGAGAAAAATGCTCTGAAGCATCAGGAGGGGAATGAATAAATGGGTTTTTTTTCCCCACACGGAAAACACTGACTTGAACCTTTTCTTTCATTCTTTTTTCTTTAAAAAATGTTTTTACCTCATTTCCAAATCTTCATTTTCTTGTGGTACAAATTTGTACAAGGCAACATAGGTGTTCATCTGTAATGGGTCTTTGGAAAGAGATCCCTGAAAGATAAAATAGAAGAAAAAAGAGAAAAGGAAGGAGAAAAGAAATTGAGAAAGGAAAGGAAAAAAAAAGGAAATAGAGAAGTTACTGCAATGTAATGTAATTTAAGTGTATGGTTCTTAAGTGTTAAAATATCTAATTATTAAAGATTTTCTTTCAAACCTAGGTGTATTTTTAATTTCTTTTTTTTTTTCTTTCTTTGAGTTGGAATCTCACTCTGTCGCCCAGACTGGGGTGCAGTGGCCGCTTCCGGCCACCATAGCCTCCACTTGCTGGGCTCCGGTGATCCTTCCGCCTCAGCCTTCCAAGTAGCTGGAATTACAGGCATGCACTACCACGCCTGGCTGATTTTTTGATTTATTGTAGAGATGAGGTCTCACTGCCCAGGTGGGTCTCGAACCCGCAGGCTCAGGCAATCCACTCACCTCAGCCTCCCAAAGGCGCGGGATTACAGGCTGAGCCACCGAGCCCGGCTATTTTTAATTTCTTAACTGAGTTTGATTTCACTACAAACTATTTGAAAACAAATATTTGGAACTCTGTCAGAAATAATGCAATTTTCTCCAAATAAATTATCTTTGATATAGTTGTTCATAAAAAATGATACAGGTTTGGCTCCAGAAATGGGAATAATCTCTCTAAAAGAGGGGGCATGTGAATGGTAGTAAACAACTCTCACTTCCTAACATTAACTTTTTATCAATTAGCCTAAAAAAGTTGGCATTTAGCATATCAAAAGTATATCCACCTGAAAATTAGTTCATTCATGTTGAGGAAAAAGCATAGATTTTTGGCATCAGGCGGATTTGGTTGATATCATGGTACCACCATCTATTGGCAATGAAACCTTGCAGTAATCATAATAAAAGTTGCCCTTTTTGATAGTTTACCGTGTACCAGGCATTATATTACATGCATTAGCAAACTTGAACTTAACAATAACCCTGTTAGGTAGATTCTATTTTTGTCACCAATTTTCAGAATATAAAAGACTCTTGTAAATGTCATATAAATATTAATGATTATTACTAACCAAATTAATATTAATGCTATATAAACATTTATAATTTATAACAAGTCAAAATTATACATAATATAAGATATAATTGCATAACATATCTAAATATATAGCAATAAATACATGCTATATATGTAAAGAAAACAGACAAAAGTTGCGCATAACCATGTATCCTTTTTACCTATGATTCACTCTGTTATTCAAAGCTCAGGTACCTTATACTATATTATTTGATTCTAATTTTACATATATAAATGAACATATAAAACATAAATATAAATGTATATACTATAAAATATAGTCATAATATATTGTCTAGTCCTATAATTTACACATAATATAGTACATATTAACTTGTATGTAACATATGCAACAGAAACAAAAGGTGCACATCATAATACTTATCCTTTTTACCTTTTATGCACCGAGCTATTTCTGTTTATTCCATGCTGTCTATGCTATGGCACATTGTGCTACGTTATTGTATTCTATTCTCTAAAGACGCTGGTCTGGGACCCACTACACTGATTTCATGACCCACTTGGGTGGTGACTTGCAGTCTAATCTAAGGACACTCCTAACTTTTCTTTTGTGATAGTCATAAATACCTGGTGGTTTATAATCTTTGCTTGGTCTCTGAAATCGTCAGTGCCATTTTCTGGATACGTAAACACTGCAGGAGACAAGAGAAAGCAGGTGCTTTATGAGTCCAGTGACCATTTTCTGGGAAATATGCCTGAAAGATGGTTTTATTTATTCTATGTGCTATAGCTTTTCATGGCCTTTTTCTCAACCTTAGTAAAGACCCAACTTTTAGGTTGTCTTCTATGTGACTCTTTCCCTGCCCACTCGTGCAGCATTCTGCACCACTTTCTCTGTGCTCTCACAAACTTTGTAACCTTTGTACATACTTGACTAGCACTTACCCCTTTACACTGCTTGGCAATTGTGTGTTCAAGGTTTGGTCTCATTTGGCAGTGTTCTTCTCAGGAGCAGAAAACTGCATCATTCATCTTTGTTAAATGTTTCAAACCACTTGTTATTGGGGTGATGGGTGAAGCATAGTTCAGTTTAGTTGTATTTGAATTGCCTTTTCTAAATATCAGATTCTTTAATCTATATTCAGTATCTTGATTTTAGTTTCTTGATAATATCTATATTCTATTTTGAAGATTAAAGCTTTGAACTTCAAAATAGTTCCTTGATCTTTTATTGTCAATGCACTGGGGGCTATTGCTTGGGTTTTCTTATAGCTTATTCTTGGAAAGTATAATTATCTTCCTTTTGTATTTAAGTAGCTACTCTGAGGTCTTTGATAGAGAAAAAGCCTACTCAAAATGGGTAGGATTTTTCACTGTCCATATACACAAGTGTGGGAAGCCCCTGATGGATTCTGGGACTTCTGCTTTAGCTGGTGTGATCAGCCTAATCTACTCCAGTGACTGATGCCATAGCCTTCTTCTCATTGCATGTTTTCTCCCTTAAACAAAAATGTGGTAAATGTTTCCAAGTTTGTATAATAAAGCTGTGGTGTCTAAATTAATCTACCATTTTCACGACTTGAAAATTTGAAATAACACGTTTGCTGCTTTATTCTTCCCTTTGATTTCCCTTCAGCTTATAAAGGAAATATCAGTAGAGGGAAGGAAACACTACAGAAAGCTCAATAACCTATTCCATTAGTGCATTGGCACTCTCCACTGTTCTTAAAATAGACTCAACAACTGTGATGCAGAAAAAACGCTTCAAAACAAGAGCTCCTGTAAATGTACTGATGCTTATCAAATACCTATTCTTCTCAGTTTATAGTTGCAGTGTTTATGGATGTAATTCTATTATCCCTAAAAAGCCAATATGCAATCACTGGTGGAGCTCTGGTTTGTGGGTAACTGGAAAATTAGGGCCTGATTCCATGGGTTTTTTCTGCATCAATATTTGGTCACTCAGCTTGATGTTTACCAGTCTAAAAAGAGTGGAGACCAGCAAAAGCTTTTTCTGGTATTGTGTAACTGTTTGAAATCCTGATATAGAAACAGGGTTCCATAAGTATGGAACTGGATACTTCTAAAAGAATATTAAATATCTGAATGAAAGCATAAAGAAATTTATAAAATTTATAAAATTCTTGATTTGGGCTAAAAAGGGGGCTACATACAGTGCATATGTAACGTTCAGTTTGGGCTGATTTTTACAATTTTGTAATTTCACATTATTCTAGCTTTTTATCGATTATCCATCTAGTCATCTGGCTCAAAATGTGTACCAACTTTATAAACTATGCTGAAAATTATTTGAAGTGACTCCAAATATGTTTTCAGTTGTATGGCTGCAAGCAGAAATGGGAGGTTGCAAAAATGATTTTAAAAAATGATTACTTCCAACCATTTTTAAGACTTTGATTTAAAGGAAGAGGAGAAAAGAGAGGTAACTATTTCACTAAAGATATATTACATATCATTTATTTTTGGTGCTTTAAATTATTTCCTTAAAATAATTTGGTTGTTTGTTTCCCCCATAACAAGTTTTCAGAGAATATGTCCATTATGTAGGAATAGTTTCTAGTGTTACAGAGGTCATGTGAATCTTTAGCATTTGCCACGTCCCTAGATCATTTTCTTTCCCAAATGCTATCTTTCTTTTCTTAGTTTAAAGACCTAAGAGGCCAATGTCCACCCTTGTATTTTTTAGTGAGATATATATTTTATCAGGATAATACAGCAAGTTACATCACTGGATTATCTAACATGGTCCCAAATTTGGGTCTCTGGAATAAATTCAACCTGGTAGTTATGCCCTATCTTTTAAAAACAATATGAGTTCAGTTCACTAAGATTTTGTTGCAGATTTCTGCATGTATATTGAAGTGAGAGATTAGCCAGTGATCTTCCTTTCTCATGCAATCCTTGTTTGGTTTTGAAGTATTTTACAAGCCTCATAAACTAAGTTGGACAATGCAGTTGCCCTTCTTCCTTAATACTTTTTGTTCCTCTGAAAAAACTTATGTAACCTGGAAGTTTCTATTCCGTCAATGTTTGATAGAATTTACTTATAAAGTTGTCTAGGTGTGGTATTTTCATTGTGCAAAATATAAAATATTGATCCAGTTTCTATGAGGGCTATAAGCAAATCTTCATTTTCTATTTTTATTTCTTCTTCAGTTAGGCTTTAGTCACTGATATCTTTCTTGGTTTCTGCCCATTAAAAAAAAGTTTTAAAATTTATTGGCATGAAGTTTGTACAATTTTTGTTTTTTGGAAAGCAGGGTTTATTAAGACAGAAAAGCTCCCAAAGTGGGAGGGGACCCAACAGGGTTGCCCAATTCTTTTATTTTCTTTTCAATCTGTTATGCTCTCCTTTTTTGTATTTTTTGTTTCATGTGTCTCTTTTTATCAGAAAATATTGTTAGAGATTCCACATTTATTTGATAAAACTGCTCTTAAGATGTATTGATCTATTTTTGTAATTTAATAATTTTTGCTCTTGTCTTTATTATTGCTTTCTTTGGGTTTATTCTATTTCATTCTCTGACTTGTTTGGTGCTTAGATTATTCCTTTTCAGGCTTTCTTACTTAATAGTATAATTTTAAAGCTAAATACTCCAGTTTCAGTTCTGGTGCTATCTCACAAGTTTGGATGTTTGCTATTTTATTTTATTTGAGTTCTGGGGTACAAGTGAGGACTTGCTGCACAAGAAGGCTGCATGCAGGTGAAGTTTGGGCTTCTAGCCAGCCCTCTCTCCCCTCGATATTGAACCAGGTATCCACTGTGTTACCACATACCCTCCTTCCTCCTCCCCTCACCGCCTCCCTCTCTTAGCTGTGCCCTACATCTGCCAATCCCACCCTTGTGCTAGTGTGACTAGTGTTCAGGGCCCACTTATGAGTAAAAGAAAACATGCGGTATTCAGTTCTTTGTTTCTGTGATAGTTTACTTAGTATGATTGTCTCCGACTGTGTTCAAGTTGCTGCAAAGGCCATGATTTTCTTTTTCTTCATGGCTGCATAATACTCCATCGTGCATATATACCACATTTTCTTTATCCAATTCAGTTTTGATGGGCATCTGGGTTGGATCCATATTACTTAGTTTTAAATATATTCTAATCTTCATTATGAATTTTTTTAGTTTTTAAAAATTGTTTTAATTTATCAGATTATTGATTTTCCTACTTATCTTTTGACTATTGATTTCTGTGGTCAGAAAGATATGTTCCATATAATATTAATTCTTTGAAATGTGTGAGGCTTGCTTTATGGCCTATCAGATGATCAATTAAAAAAAATTCCACGTGTTCTTTAAAATAATATGAATTCTCTGCTTGCTATATGGAGTTTTTTTTTTTGAATTGGAGTCTCACTCTGTTGTCCAAGTTGGGAGGTAGTGGCACACTCATGGCCACCCCAGCGTCGATCTCCTGGGCTCTGCAATCCTTCCACCTTAGCCTTCCAAGTAGCCGGAATTACAAACTACAGGTGCACACTACCATGCCTGGCTAATTTTTAAATTTTATTGTAGAGACAAGGTCTCACCTTTTTGTCCAGGCTAGTCTCGAATTCGTGGACTCAGGCAATTCTCTCATCTCAGCCTCCCAAAGTGCTGGGATTATAGACTGAGCCACCGAGCCTGGCCTAGTGTGGGTCTTTCTTAATTGCACTGTAGATGAAGTTTTTGTCTGAAAAATTGCACTGTAGATGAAGTTTTTGTCTGAAAAATATATTCTTGAAAGACAGTTTTGCTTCATTTACAATTCTAGGTTAAGAGTCACTTTTCTGTTTGGTTTTCTTCAAATTTGCCTGTCTACTTTTGATAGTCTTTTGTTCCTTTGTAATATTTTCTTGTCGATTTTCAAATATTTAAAAAATATACTACTGTAACAGTTATATATTTCTTTACTTGATATTTTAAAAAATCTCTGAAGGTCTGATAAAAAAATTAGTTGTTTCTGATAATGCTTGCTCATGATGGCTCATTTTCTCATGTGTTTGATGAATTTTTATTGTTAGTTCATGTTCTTTTAAAGTTTATTTATGGGTAGATTTTGAGGTCTGGGTTTAGATTCTCTTGCCACAGGGAGGGCTTCCATTTGCTTCTGGCAAATGCCTGGTGATCTTAATCACATCTGAGTCATTTTAAACTAAATTAAACTAAAATTTCTTATTCTTTTACTTTTCCTGTAAAGGTAGTACAAATTTAGGACCTAAACCCAAGTAAGAAGACTTTCTTTTTTTCATTCCTTTTTTTCCTTCCTTCCTTCTTCCTCCCTCCTTTCTCTGTCTCTACCTGTCTCCATCTTTCTTTCTCTCTCTTCCCCACCTCCTTCCTTCTTTCCTTTTCTACCCTAAGGCCTATATAGTATATTCCTCTGCAGGGCATTCTGTTTTTCTAGTGACCTTAAGGGTACTTTTTGGAGTATTAGCATTTTTAAAGGGCCTCTCATATAACCTAATACCTTGCTGACTCCCAGGTTTTGTCCCTTATTGTTCATACATAGGGCTTATTATTACCAAGCTGAGGCCCCAGGGTTGTACAGAATAAACACTGACCTTCACCTGCTTAAGCCTTTAGAGTCAAGTTTTATTGTCGTTTCTGGACTCTAAGGAATTGCCTTATTTTGCTGCCAGCTCAGCCATGCATTAACTAGAAATTTAAAAAAAAATTCTTTATCTTCACAGTTTTAGGAGTGCTAAATTGGAAAAAACATCCAACCCTATATATTGTTGGAAAGCGAATCTTCTGTGCTTTTATAAAGATCTTTACCTGGTCTAGGCAGAGTGTATGTGCAGAAACATACTGTAAAGATTTGCATCTGTAATTTAGAAATTCTCCATTGAAATTGCCCATAGAAATTATACAAAAACAAGGGGCATCTGCCAACTTAAAATATCTGCTCTCTTTATTGGTGACACCTTAAAAATTTGAGATATAGAACCAGTGCATGCAAAAGGCAAGGATGAATTTTCCAAATCTGAGATTGCCTTTTTGCTTTATGGACAAAATGTCTTTGCTATAGGGTGAAGTGAGGTAATTTTGGATTCTGTAATATACTCAAGTGGATGTGATTACCAAGTCCTTTTTGAAGAAAATTTCTAGGAATTTATATTGCTTACATCCTGCTCCCTCTGTTTCTCTTCCAGGAAAAGTATGATCACATATAGTCATTCTGAAATGCAGTTATTGAAGGCAGTCAATATTATTATTGAAATGCAGTTATTGAAGGCAGTCAATGTTATTATTTAGCATTTCCAGCGAAATAGCTGAGATTTTACGTCTCCCTTTGCTTATTACTTGTTATGAGTGAAATTTCTAGCAGTTAAGTCAAAGTTGTAGACCAACGATTTTCTCCATATATATTTATGATGTGTGTACAGGAATAATGTTGAAAACAACAACTGCTTAAGATCATTTATAAAAGAGAAAGCAGACTGTGTTGTTAGCAGTAAATAAATTAGTATGAATTGTACCCTTTTCTAAGATGGCTTTGGAGATATTTCTCAAGGAATTTAACATAACACCTAGCTGAAAGACATAGCACCTGTGTGTACTACATGTGAGTTTTTTTTTCTTTTTGGACATAAATGAAACATATAATGCAGAACAAGTTGTGACTGGCATCCCAGATGTTGTTTCTGAAAAGTCAACACTCTCCTTGCCATGACTGAGAAGACACATGGGAATTGGACCACATAAACGGTATTTTCTCCATGTTGCTTTTCATACTGCATGGATAGGGGATTAAAACCAATCAAAGGCAAATGTTTTGAAGCAAACTGCTGCATAATTAATCCCCCTAGCTTCTAAGGGTGCATTGTACAGAAAGCTATTGCTGATCAAAGGAATTGCTAATATATCTCCAAAGCTTTTTTGGAAGTTTATTGCTTGCTAAGTTCTTTCAACAGATCTCCTTGAATAGGCTGTGAAAATGCTTCTTAATATAGAAGAGACAAACTATAATGTATGACGAACATAATATATGAAGAACTCTGGGGTTGCTGTTTAAATTCAGTGGCTGGTTCTGCAATGCCAGAAAAACTTGGGCTGGGATGGCCCCAGCATATTGTTCCAGAAAATAATCAACTATGTGGGTATTACTCTGTGACTTGGTTTTCTTATCTATGAGGGGGAGACCTCCAAACAACTCTGAATTGTCTTTTGGAGGGTGAACACCTTGTAGTACAGGCTTCTCCCAGTAAGTGAGTGTTCTAAAACCCTAACAGCCTCAGTGTACCAGCTAGCGTTGTTGCAAGAGCCTGTGCTTGACTTCAGTGACTTTTTTTTTGAGCTTCTTTCAGTGTGTTTGCACAATTCATGATGGGTGATTTATGAGCGCACCTGCCCATACTGTGCTGAGAGTGTTCAGCAGATGTTGACCAAAAATGTCACAATCCTCATGCTCCATCCTCCCTATTCACCTGAACTTGCCCCGAAGGACTGTTTTGTTGTTGTTGTTGTTCCTGGATGAAAAAAGTTCTCAAAGGAAAATGTTTTGCCTATGTGAAAGAGGTGAAACAAAAAACAGCTGAAGCACTAAAAGTCATCAACATTGACAAATTAAAAAACTATTTTGAGCAGTGGAAAAAGCATCTTGATAGGTGTATTGTATCACATGGAGAGTACTTTGAAGGTGACTGAAGCTTAAACATGTAAGAATAAATACACACTTTTTTGTTAATAAATTCTGGATTTTTGGGGGTCCCCCTTTGTATATGGTATGTGCTATGGCACATGAATATGTGTACTGGAGGGGAGGAAATTGGACTAAATGACCCCTAATCCTACTTCTTGAACATTAAAGATCCTTTGAAGCACAGATTCACATTCTGATTTAGTAGGACTGAAGTTCTGTTTCTTTTCTTTTCTTTTCTTTTTTTTCGCCTAGCTTAGTTGTTTCATTTATTGTAGAGATGAGGTATCACCAATTTGCCCAGGCTGATCTCGAACCTGTGAGCTCAGACAATCCCCTCGCCTTGGCCTCCCAAAGTGCCGGAATTACAGGCTTGAGCCACAGCGCCCCCTTCTGAAATTTTGCGTTTCTAACAGGCTTTCACATGACGCCCAAGCTGCTGGTCCGTGGGCCACACTTGAGGTAACGAGGCTCTCCCTGCTCTTCTGACACTTTATGACCTTATGATGACTTTGTTAATAGCAACCATGCTGCATATTGATGATTGCTAAATACAGCTCTTCACATTATAAAATCCTATTAAGATCACCTTTTGAGAGAGGAAATCCCCAGGGTAATCCGAGGACTTACCTACTAAAGGAACCGGTAAGAAACAGCATCATTAGAGCCAGGTCAGGAAGGCTGAGGCAGAGGGTCAAGCAGTGGGCACACTCTGGGCATAATTTTGAGAGTCAGCGGATAGAATTTGCTGTCAGATTAGATATGAGGTGTGAGAAGAAGGAGGAGTCAGGGTTGATACCAAAGACTTTGGCCTAATCAACTGGTTGAATGGAGTAGAGACAATTGTGGGAAGAGCTGGTTTTGATGGGTGGGTGGGTGAGGGGATAAAGAGTAAAGTTTTGGTGTAATAACTTTAAGAAACCATTCCACATTCAGAGGGCAATGCCCAGTAAGCTATAGGTGTCTGGAGGCAGTCAAGAAGCCTTGTGATGGAGATAAAGTTTGGGAGTCAGCAAAGTATGAAAAGTGTTAACATCTGTGATCACATGTAAAGATTCTAACAACTGTACGAATTTGGCATTATTATTATTTTCATTTTAGAGATGCAGTGATTGAAATGGAAAGAGGCTAGGTCACTACTTCAGAGACATACGATCATTAAGTGACGTTGGGCAGTCTGCCTCCAGAGCAAGCATGGACCAAGGACCAAATGTTTCCAGTCCAGTTAGTGATGAGGAGACCATCAGTGATGGTGAGAAGGGTGTTAGGGGAATGCAGACATCAGACTCAGGCCTGCACAGCTGACAAGACTTGAAGCATTTACATGCAGGTCTGGTTTATATGGTAATCTCTGGTGATTTAGTTCCTCAGATGCTGAAGAACCCTGGGGTTGCTGTTTAAATTCAGTGGCTGGTCCTTCAATGCCAGACAAACTTGGGCTGGGATGGCCCTGGCATGCTGCTCCAGCGTGAGGTTTCCCTCAACTCCAGCACCCTCTAATTTGTCTCTTTAGCGACACTGCCAAGAGCGCAATGATTATTTGTATTGATCTAAAAGTACAATTTTTTCCCCATGTGATGCCAAAGGATCCTTACCCCAGCAGTGAGCTTTAAGCAGATGTGTGTGGGCTTGGCAAGGGGGGACATGGTGAGTGTTGATGCTTATTTAGGAAGAGGTGTCATGGGGCAGCTGAGCACATGGTGCCTTGTGGGAATCCACAGACACAATACTGACAAAAGAGGAGACATAAATGAATTTCCAGAGCGAAGGAAGTGGAAGCGACGTCTTGTGAGACAGCTGCTGCCAAAGCAGCTATATGGTATCAAAAGCAGAACTTTTGCATCCAGGCTGGAAAAGGCAGGGGCTGGGGTTGGAACCTGGAGGGATTAGCTTCCATCATGAGAATACATTCAAGTTAGCAACGCAAGCCAAGACCTACAACCTGGCTATACTGTGACCCATGTACTTTTGCGATAGTGTTTCATAAACATTTTTTAATGAATGAGTGAACGTTAAGTAGTTATTGATGTCCAAAAGGGTTGGCAAGAATGCATCCATTAGGGCTAGGTCAATTGTCTTTCAGCTCTTTAAGGGTAGTTCTTTCTTAATGTTAGCAAGCAACAGTATGAAGTTAGCATTTAAAAAGTACTTTAGAAATTATTGTAACAAGAGCTTAAGGTATTAGAAGATTAAATAATATTAGTAAAGAATGTTTGGCTGGATTGTATATATTGGTTTTTTGAGAGTGTTAGTTGTCTCTGCCAGGGAAGGAATCAAGCGTGAGCCCCACACTTCCCTCACTGACTCCACCTCTTGGTTCCAGGTACCTCAGGTTTAGCATGAAGTAGCTCCTCTTTGGTATAATTTGCTAATCTAATTAATCTAGGTCTGTGGAGAAAATGACACATTCACAGAAAGCTCTGGAAGTGACTCCTTAACCCCAATATAGCTAAGTCCATAACATGAAAACTCACTGGAATCGACCCGAAACTATGTCCAGTTTCCCTTCAGAATATTGAACATTTGTCCCGACTGAATTCCAGAACTATCAGAGAAAGAGACGGGACTGGAAATCAACTTTACCTGCCCACCACTCCTGACTCATGTGATTCATATTTGTGCCTGCCCAACTCTCTCACTCACCACTGTTGCTGCGTTTCCTTAGGTCATACCCGCCTCCTGGCCCATCAGCTTCCTCAGGAACTTCCACGAGATCTGAAGTCTTAGAAGAAAGAGAAAACAGCATGGGATGAACAATGTTATATCAGTGGGTCAACTGAGTAGAGAAATTTTGACGTCAGTAAAAGAGCTAAGGTGAGATTTTCATGACACTTATGAATCTGCTGATTACTGTCTTGGCTGTTTGGCTAATTTCAGAAAGGCTCTGTCCTTCATGGGCACTGTACCTCCCTCAGGTGTCTGACAGGTTCAGGCTTGGCCATGGTGGATACTCAGTAAGTGTTGAATAGATGCCTAGATGTCCAGAACACAGTGAGGCTTCTTCCCAGGAATAGACAACAGAGAGAAATCAGAATTCCTGCCCATATCCCGCCACTTAAAATTTTCAGTAAAACGATAGCTCTTTCTATAAGTGAGTTTCAAATATTAATTATAGAGAACAAGATGCACTCTGAGGGTGCACTACTTAGGTCCAAGTTAAATGCTGTTTTCATTGCTGCAAAAACAAATTGTTTTTGTAATATTTATTCCACCTTTTTTTTTAAAGATAAGTTATAATCATTCTTCCACTTAGTTAACAGAAGTAAACAACAATAATAACAATAAGAGTAATAATAGTAAATAGTGATTCCTGATCATTTACCTTGTGCTGTTTTTAAGTACCTTATATGTATCATCTCATTTATTCCTCTCAATACTTCTATAACAGACTCATTTTTCAGATAGGAATCTGAGTCCCAAAGCTAGTGAGTGGTGGAGTTGGGGCTGTGAGTTCCAGGCCCAGTGCTCTTAAGCACAATGCTTCATCCAGTGATGCATTGGAGTGGCTCCGTGGGTGGTGGCAGCCTCAGGATCATCAAACTGGGAGCACGATATGGGTCACTGCAGAAGTATTTACACCGTGGAAACTGGCAAAGTTATGAATCGGGGTCCTCTGAGCTAGTGGTGAAATGTTTACGAGTATATCACTGATTGCCTCTTTCAAAGGGCCAGACACCCCAGCTTCTGTCTGCCAGGCTCTATCCCCTTCAAAAGAGGAACTTAGGGGGCCTCTGAGGAGAATCATTTTAAAAACAATTTAATTATATTTTATTAGAGAAGGGCAAGTTTACCTTCCTAGTTCTAGTCAGCTCTAGACCAACTAGCACCACCCTCCAGAGACAGATTTTTTTTTTTTTTACAATTTAGCTTTAAGATTTTTTTCAGTCACTCTTATTTTCATGACACATCAGAAAGATGGAAAAAAATAAATATCATAGGGCTCTATGTAACTTATAGCCTACTCCCTTTGAAACTCACAAGTTCTGTACAGAAGTTGTTTTGCAGAGAATTTCATTTATGTTAACTTAATCTTATGAAACTGAAGATTATTCATAAACTAGCCAACTAACTCCCAGAATGTTGTTGGGATTTGGTTTCCTCTGGCCTTCCCAACGCATCAAGCCTTTTATATTTCAGAACATTTGAAAGTACATTAAGGAAAACATAACAATTTGGAAACAGCCAGGCAGCAACTTCTCAACAATGTAAAACAAATGCCTCTGCAGCCCTGGAAGGAAATATATCTGTAGAACAAAGCTTTGCTATGTGGGAATATGTTAGCATTAGGACATAAAAATACTGAAAACATGGCAAGAGGCTGAAGTTCATTATCACTGACCTGCAGAAAGGAAGCAAAATTACTTTAAAGTACCAATCGTTTCTGTTTTCTTCCATTGAGGCAAGTTGAGCTTTGGAGAAGGAGTGAAGCGACAGATATTTAAGTACAATTTGATTTGTCTTTGTCTCCCTGCAGCTTTCAGAACAATGCTTTTACAGTGCAAAACTCCAAGTAGATACTGATGGAACTAGTGCCAGTACAACTAGACAGTGATTAATGGACATCTTACTGCCATTCAAAAAACTATGCTTCTTGCTCCTAAAACCAGTCTGTGGGGTCCAGATGTTGCTAGACACAAAGATAGTTTAGAGATAAACGCAAACTGGACATCCTTCAACTATCCTTCTGATGGTCTTGCTGCTTCTTTGCATCAGCACAAAATGAGGAAGCCGAAATGTCCATTGCCTTCTATGGGATGTTTCTGAGGATGTTTTCTTGTCAAAAGCTCAGCACAGCTCAGGAGCAGCTATCTTGCTGCTTATGCAGATAGAATCAGGGCCATCTCTGGGGAGCTTCTTCTCCACTCTTGCCTCTCTGGGCTAGCTTTCCAACTTCTCTTCCACCAATGCCGGCCTCATTGACAGTGTGAGTGACTGGGAGAAGCTTGCACTGGAGTGGGATGAGGATATATTGGCTCTCACCTGAGAAGTGAGACATGCCTATTCAGAATGCTGGTCAAAGTGAACAGAGGCCTCTCGGCTCTGGCCAATTTTGTTTGTGCTTTTCTTTTGAATTGGTGGGTGGTATCTACAAGCAGTCTTGACTTGGAAGATGGCTGCAGACCAGGAGCCCGCTCTATGTGGCTTTGGGGAAGTAATCCATTGGCAGCAATGACCTTCCTCACTTCCCTGAGAAAGGATATGTAACATGGTAGGTAGATTAGGGAGATGGTTGGTGTTCTTGGATCTCTGTTCTAAATTTTAGATCCAGCCTGGTGGTCACTGTAACTGTCACACAGAGAGGAAGCAAGAGCAAGTGCAAGCAGGTGAGGGTGAATACAGGAGAGAAAGAGAAGGGGTGGGCAGAGGCTGAGTTCCTTAGAAGAAGCTCACTTAAGTCGTTAATTTAAATAAATAATTCTCAAACTTGAATGTGCAACAGAATCAGAAAGTTTGTTACAATGGATGGAGATTGTTGGGATTCCATGATCAGATTTTCTTTTCTACATTTCTTTTTTTAAAAAAAATGTAAAATTAAAAAAAATTTTAAAGATGTGGCGTACAAGTTAGGATTAGGTATCTAAATGCTCATTATGCAGGTATGTTGATGAGATGTGCCCCACCACTCTCCAGCAGATTCCCACTACTGCCAATCCTTGCCTTCTCCTCCTCCCCCACCAGGCAGTTTCCCTGCTGTCAATTCTTTTCTTATAGTATTAGGCATATTTGCATTTCTAACAAGTTCCCAGGTGATGTTGACACTGCAGATCTAGAGACCACACACTGAGAACCACTGATTTAACTCATGCCAGCTTTAGGTCCTCCTAGAAATTTAGACAGTTTGCCTGAGGAGGGTGTCTATTCATTCATTTATACACCACATATTTAGCGAGAATCTACAATGGGCCAGCATGTACGGATCAGTGGTTCTCAGATTTGAGTGGGTATTGGAGTCACCTGGAGAACTGATAAAGCTCACAGAGGCCCAGATTAGTCAAAGTAGGACAGAACCTGGGCCCTTATACTGTTACAAAGTTCTCCAGTGGATTCTGATACCTACCAAAGTTTGAGAATCGCTGGTATAAGGTAATGGAGACAAAAAAGATATGACCAAAGTTATTGCATTTAAGCAGCTTAGTCTAGTTGAATAGAGGAATGGAAAAGTGAGAGAAAAATTGAACAAAAAATGTGAACATTGCCAAGCAATATGTTAATCATGGAGATGCTATGAGAGACCAGGGAAGAGGTAACCACCCAGTCCCTGAAGCTTGGAGAGATGTTATCCGCAGGGAGGTGGAGACAGTTGAGCAACTGAATAGAACATGGCTATGCAGAGAGTGGCAAGCTATGCCTAGAAGTCAGAGCATGAGAAATAAAGTTTTGTGTGGATCCCTGAGAATTCTGAGGCCAGCCTTCAATAGTCCCTCGTTAATTCTTTCCCATTCTTCATATATTTCTTAAGTGTTCACTATGTGCCTGGTACCCTGGCAGGCCTTGGTGTAAGGTGATGAAGAAGAAATGGGGCCTTAGATACTCACCAGTATCCGGTTCAATAAAAAGAGGCAAAAGCAGATAGTTACAATGCAATCACATCTATCCTACAAACAAACAAACAAAAAGGAATTCTTGGAGGCTTGCGGGAGGAGCAACTCACTATGCTTGGGAAAAACTGGAGATTTGTCACTGTATAAAAATCAAGTAAGTCTTAAAGAATTTCAAGTGGGGGAAGCAGCATGTTTAAGGTATGGAGATGTCACAGAGCTTGGGGAGTCCAGGGGAAGGCAGGTTTTTTTTTTTGTTTGTTTGTTTTTTGAGTCGGAGTCTCACTCTGTCGCCCAGACTGGAGCGCAGTGGCCGCTCCCGGCCACCGCAGCCTCGACCTGCTGGGCTCTGGTGATCCTTCCACCTCAGCCTTCCGAGTAGCTAGAATTACAGGCATGCGCCACCACGCCCGGCTGATTTTTTGATTTATTGTAGAGATGAGGTCTCGCTGCCCAGTCGGGTCTCGAACCCGCAGGCTCAGGCAATCCACTCACCTCAGCCTCCCAAAGGCGCGGGATTACAGGCTGAGCCACCGAGCCCGGTTGGAAGGCAGGTTTTAAGGTAAAGACAGGCCTCATATGCCAAAGAGTTTGGACATTGTTGTCCTGGCACAAGCAATTTAATAGAGGGTTTTAGAAAACTTGCACAAAGACATGCTTGAAGTGATGATAAATCTGGAGGTATGGGTAAGGGTTGACTCAAAAGGAAGAGGGGTAGCACAGTTATTTCTTTATAATAATCTGGGTGAGAGGTGATGAGGTTCAAACCTCCAGCACTTGTGATAGAGAGGAAAGACATTTTTGATACATATTTCTGAGTTCTGAATTATAGGACCTAATCACCAATGGAACGTGAATTTAGTTTAAACACGCTGAATCTGTAATATCTGTAAGACTGGTTTGGTGCTTGAGCAAGAGGTTAAAACTGGAATTATCTAAAACAGTGATCCCCAACTTTTTTGGCATCAGAAACTGATTCTGTGGAAGATAATTTTTCCACAGACTGAGGTGGGGGTAAGGATGGTGGTTTTGGGATGCTTCAAGTGCATAACATTTAATGTACACTTTATTTCTATTATTATTACATTGCAATATATAATGAAATAATTATACAATTTGCCATTTAACAAAAAGAGACACGGATGAAAGTGGTAAATAAAATGATGGATGGGCCATGCATGGACTAAAAAATAAGTGTCAGATTCTGATTTAAAGCCTGCCACCAGAGGCAGCTGTACAATTGAAGTGTATCAGCTTACTTGTCACTCACTGATAGGGTTTTGGGATGAGTCTGCAAGCAATTGATTTGTTATGGTCTCTGTGCAGTCAATCCTCACTGCTAATGTTAATCAGCATTTGTAGCCACTCCCCAGTGCTAGCATTATCAACTCAGCTCCACCTCAGATTATCAGGCATTAGATTCTCATAAGGAGCTCACAACCTAGATCACTCACATGCACAGTTCAAAATAGGGTTTATGCTCCTATGAGAATCCAATGCCACCGCTGATTTGACAGAATGCAGAGCTCAGGCAGTAAATAACGTGAGTGATGGGAGTGGTTGTAAATACAGATGAAACTTTGCTCCCTCTTCCCCCACCCTGTTCACCTCCTGCTATGCGGCCCAATTCCTGACAGTACCAGTCTGTGGCCTGGGGGTTGGAGATGCCTCATCTAAAGTAGTCATTAGCTTAGAAATGGAGGTTGGACTAAAGGAAGGTGAATAAGATCAACCAGAAAGAACATCCCAACTTACAGAGTAAATGGAGGAAATATCAGAGAAGATGGATTGAGCAGAACAGAGCAGAACCCTTGAGTGATTCAGGGGTTTCTACCAGAGCCTGAGCATAGCTCCTGTTACAGGGTGACTCTGGGAAATGCTCTTCTTAGATAACATATTTGCCCTGTTAACGAATTATAACCTTGTTTAACTTCATAATACCTCAGGTTCAAAGAAAACCCAGCTAAGGTCTAGATGCCTAATGAAAATGAAATAACCAGGGACAGTGGCTCATGCCTGTAGTCCCAGGTACTTGAGGGACTAAGCCACGAGGATCACTTAAACCAATGAATTGGAGTTCAGTCTGGACAACATAGCAAGATGCCATCTTTATAAACATTAAAAAAAAAAAAAAATCCAGCAACAACTTCCATTTATTGAGCCAATTATATTAGTCTCTATGCTAGATACTTTATGTATACTATTGTTATTACCCAACCCATGCAACCATAACAAACTTGCATATAATATAAATCCTACCTTTATACACTTTGTATGTCTTCATCATATCTAGTACCATTTCTATCCTTCTTTCAGTAAAAAATCAACACTGTCTTTTGGACTGCCAAATAATAATAATCTCCTCTTTAAGAAAATCATCAGGACTCAGGTATCTTAAAATGTCACACACTATACCCGCATGGCTTTAAGGCAACAACCACTGAAACTAAACATTTTTCATCTTTACTATGAAACCTTTCAGTACTTGTATAAGATAGTAGTTATAATATCCTTAACACCTGCATGCTATGTTCTCATTCTTAATAAAAAAGAATAAAACAAAAAAATATATTTTACAATCTGTTAAACAATCACCATCATAAGCTTTCTTTGCTATTGGTTGATCTTCAGAAATAACTCGTGTATTCTAAGGGTATGAAATCACACCCTCCTTTTCTTTTGTGTCCCCTACAGTGCTAATACACTGTGTAGGTTCTTCATTCATGTCTGTTAACTGAGCAGAAAAAAGAACTACTTGATATCAATTTTATGTAAAGGAAGGAAAGAAATAAAAATTATTTCTAGGCCTTCCCTCTTAGACATCAGTGGGCAGCATGCAGAATAAGGCTTTTAGAGAGTTTAAAGGTAGCTTCTAGTTTACCATGTAGCCTCAGTCAAAGGATCTATAAACCTAGCTACTTACCTACATGACCTACATTCCTACTCGACCAACTACAACTTTAGGTTATCTTGTGGATTAACCTGCACCCAATGAGGAAATACTTCAAATCAGTCCCTGAGAACCCCTCTGAGGGTGTGCTCTGCCCTTCTTCCCACAATCCACCCCAATCACTTGATGTTGAGAGAATCCCGCGGGGCAGGCCATTTGGAGGCTTTTCTGTGTTTTTGCCTAGAAACTACCAGCCCAGCAGGGGCTGCAACAGTGGAACCAGTAACTGGGTGCAGGCTATCCTAAGTCATCATGTGAACTGGAAGGTCTTTGCCTCTTTGCTAGGGGGATGGTGGCTTTCAGCATGGGCTACAGAATTGCATTTATAGAAATTCTAGTTGGGACAGCCAGAGACGGGATGATTAGAACAGGTCACAGAGATGCATGGAACAGTTGGTTTAGATCAGATAAAACTTAGGAGAGGTGCCTGAGAGGGTAAGAGTTCCATAGAAAGAGGCCTCACTGAGTCACAGGTCAAGTGTCTCTAGGAAAAGCAGTTTTTTTTTTGTGAAACCAAGCAGTGTATTTTGTTTTAGAAGGAAGAGACTGAGAAAATGTGGACTAGGATATAACTGGAAGGGGAACTGGAAACAGCCAGGCCTTCTTGGCTTCTGCCCGTTGTTTAAACCAAGCATTTCAATGTGTTGACTAATATATTATCTAATATTGGTGGGAGGGTGAAGGAGAGGGGGGACAAGGAGAATTAGGGAGCATGAGGTCCATATGATAGCCTTTGGATGGGAAAGTAAAATGGTACAGGTAGTTGACCCTAAGTGGCTCAAAGCATATTGGGTTTCCTAGTCAGATCTGTTGCCTGATTCCCAACTGACCTGCCTCATGAGGCAATTAGTTGGAACCCCTCACATGACAGGGCCTGAGGACAGCCCTGCCCCAAACCACCACAGACAAACCCAGGGAAGAAGACGACAATTACAGAGGTTCTATGAGGTGAATCAGAGCCACTGCCAGAGCTGCCCTTCTTTGTCCTCTGGGCCAAGGAGGTGCCGAAGCGGAGCGTCTCGTAGACAGGGTCCACCTTATTGCCACAGGCTGCAACAGAAGAGAAAGCTCATCTGAGGGAGCTCATCTGAGAGAATCCAGTCAACCACCTACTGTATTGCCTGAGTTAACATTGCCAGAGAAGCAGGTTCTGTGCAGCAGACCCCAGCTCCTAGAAGATGGGGCTTTCTGTGGTCAAGTTTTTCTCACAGATGTGCCCCCACCTCAGCTAGCTCACATTTGCCAGATCCTGTCTCTGTGCTCAGTGCTTCCAACTAGAACTCTGCTCCCAAACTCTTCTTGATTGATTGATAGTTCCTCCATCATTATCCATCTGCAGGATTCCAATTTCAAATTTCTTCCTAGAGACCAGCTTTATTTCCTCTAATAAGAGGCTTTGCTTACTAAGGTACAAATCCTGGAGGCATGAAGTTTGCTGTAGGAGGCAACTGCTTTACTGGGCCTCATGAATTTCTAATCGAAGCTTTCTAATTTATAAATTTTTAGATGAAAACTTGTCTTCACCCCCGAAAAGGCAAAAATAGATATAAGGATTTACAGAGAGAGAGAGAGAGAGAGAGAGAGAGAGAGAGAGAGAGAGAGAGAGAGAGAGAGAATAGAAGCAAACAGAAATATATTGTTAAAGAAGAAATCCAATCCGGAAGTATCAATAACTATAGGGCATTTTATGGTCTTCGTGAAAGAATAACATATTTACTGAGTTCCTACTAAGTTGTTCTAATTTTATAGGGTCTGACAGTTTGAGGAACTTCTTCAAAGGCACACAATTGTCCCTGGGGAGCTCGGCTTTGAGCCAGACCTGGGGGGTTCCATACTCCCTTTTCCTTCTACTCCACCATGTTGCTGATGCGTGGGATAGCAGATCAGCAGCCTTTAGGGCTTAGATGTTTTTCTGCATTGCATCAGAGAGAGGATGAAAATTCCTGAAGGATTTGATCTACCTTATGTTTCCCCTCCAGCAAAACAAACAATCATAACCCAAACAGTCACCAAATTGGTTTTGCAGTCCTAGGAGGACAGTAGGCATTAATGCTGACTTTGGTGCTCAGATTCCAACTCAACCCATCAACGTCCCAACTCACCAATGGGCATAACTTCTTTAATGCATCCAAATTGTTCATGAATGAGCAAGGGGGAGCTGTAGTATCGTCGAAATCCCTTTGGCTGGAGACAGAAGGAGAAAGAGAAAGGGTTAATGTCACTGATAAGAAAAAAACACACAAGAGACTTCAAAGTAAAACAAGTTGGTTTATCCAGGGGCACCTTCCTGTCTCCCATTAAGATGCTGACTTATAATTCTATAATTTAACCCCAGAGGGGGCATGGAGGTATAGGTGGCAATAAGCAAGTTATAGAAAACATCCAGAAAACGAGCTCTGGTCCTGACCTTCCCTTGTCCTGCTTGGCCTCCTTCTGCAGGGCACTGCAGACTCCTTTGTGTGCCAAAGCCTTCTTATCTCCCAAGACACAAGTGGACTTCTATGTATATTTCACCACAGTTTGTTATTGTGGCTCATTAAAAGCATAAAAGGCCTGGGCATGGGAAAGCAGATCTCAGTGTAAAGGCCCTTTTACAGCTGGAGAGTTTTACCAAGAATCGTTTTCTCTGTGTACTGGATTCGGTTCTCTGTTTTCTGACCTATCACCTGTGGTCTTTGCTTTGGCTTGTGGGAATGACCATTGGAGAAGGAGAAAGGGGGCAGGTGAGTCAAGGGCTTGAGAGAAGAGGCACTGCAAATAAGGGTATGTAGATGAACTGGCTAAGAATCTGGGTTCACTCTACCCCAGGGTTGGATGGGAACTTAGTGGCCTAGTCCCTACCAGAATCTCAGAATTCTCTCCAGTGTTCCTGGTAAGTGGTGGTGTCCTCCTTTGTTTGTACACTGCCAGTGATGGGAAGGTGGGTAGAACATTCACTAACCTTAGAGGTAGGTCTTCAATGACATTATCCTGAATGTTAAGACTTGGTATCCACTTATCGAGGTTTTTTTCCCTGAAGCCACATGGACAAGAGAATAATTCTTTTATGTGACAGGTCTAAACATTTTTGAAGACAGCTTTTAATGTCCTGTCTAATTATACTCAGGATAGACTTTCTTGGTCTTTTCTATAATTCTTTGGCACCCTAGTTTCAAATACCCTCAAACATGCTCTGGGTTGCTTTTTAATCAATGTGTGGCACCAATACTGAAGCCCATACTCCTGAGATGGGATGAGCAGCCACAAACGGGTCAGGACTATCCAATTTCCCTTGGTTTGACCAACACGATTCTGTTAAGGTGGTGTAGATATTTATTAATCTGTCTACTCTCGTGGGGAATTAACTCTAGTCCTCTCTTGACACCCACTGAGCTGACAGCGAATTAAGCACTAGGGTGACTAACCACCCTAATTTGCCTGGGCCTGGGGTGGGGTGGGGGTTGCTTTCTGGGATGCATGGCTTTCATTTTAAAAATATGAACGGTCCCAGGATGTAGGGCTTTCAGTGTTAAAACTGAGAAAGTGCCAACCTAGGAGGAGTTGGTCACTCTACTAAGGACCCTGACGCCTTTGCAACAAGGGGCACTTGTTAAAGCTCCTCTCTTGCTCTATCATTATGCCACTTGGCAGACCAGCTCAGCAGTGCCTTCTTCAGGGCTGCAGGGAAGAACTTTTGAGAAAGGATCTTGTTGGGGCAGGCAAGTGGCCTGGACAGAGAGGACTGGGGCTTAGTCCTGGCACAAGCCCTTACCAGCTTGCCCATGCACCGCTGGGGTGCCAGGCCATCTGTGCACTTGTGGTGGATGCTCATCTTACAGGCTTTGCAGCGTAGTCCATGCTTAGCATTTGTTCCTGTCAGGCACATGGCAAACTTTGGTTAGGATGCAACCTGCCCTTTCCTGCTGACTTGTCTGAAATCACTGAAAAGAGGTTACTCCTATAACCAGGCAATTCTTTCCTCTACTTTTTCAGGAAGCTTTCAAAATGGAGAAAATATTATGGTAGATTCTATTACCTTCTCTCACATTTTCTTCCTAAGGTATGTGCTCTGGTCTTTCCCCCATATCTTTCCTATTCACTACTCCACCAAATCTAAGCTTTCTCCACATTCTTTGTTTTCACAATTCAAGCTAGAAAGTTCCATTTTCTTTGCTTTTTGTATAGGTCACCGATTTCTACTTTTCTGTGACTCACTGAGTAGTTTAAGTCCTGAAATTTCACCCATTCCACCTGTCTTTCTATCACAGAGTCTAAGCAGAGGGACAAACTCACAGGAAAATGACTGGTAAAGGGAGAACAGCAGGGACTGTGTGGTAATGGGGCAGATGGTCTTCTAGAGTGGGGGAGAGGGAACTCCATCAGACACTAACCCCAGCCTGGGGAAAGAGGAAGTGGAGGTGGATGGCAATAAAATCACTGCTGTGGTGAGTCCCTTAGCGCCTTGGGACAGGATGCCATCAGAGGGTGAGAAGGAAGAAGGTAGAGGAGGAGAAGAGAGACAGAGAGTCACTCTGGTAGCAGCATGCAACAAGACCCGAGGGAGGCCAGGCAAGAGGGCAGGGTGAGGGAGCTTTAGGAAGATGGCAGGTGTGGGACACCTGTGTTCATTGTTTCAGAAAGTGGCTGGATGGAGGTGGGAGAGATTGTTAAAATGGTATGTTCTCTGTCTCCATGTAGTCTGGGACAAGAGTTTGCAAGACCAGATCCTAAGGACAATATGCACAGAAACTGAGAAATTAAAGAGCTTGTGCATGACAGCCACATGCCTAAAGAGAGTCAACAAGAGGAGTTAGCCTTAGGTAAAGTTAAAGGTGGGCTCTTCCTAATGCATGCAAAGGTTCACCTCCATGGTGAGCATTTTGTAGGACATGAGAAAGGCAGAGAGAACCTGCTGAAAGATGCTTAAGCAAGACAGGGAGGTGATTCAAATATATTTTTGAAACATTACCTTGGCCACTGTTCAGACACTGGGTTGGAGGAGGGCAAAAACAGATGAGGGAATGAGGATGGCTACGATGGGAGGCAAGGGTCTGCTCTGACACACCAAAGTAATCTGGTAGGCCCCAAGAAGAGGTGTCAAAATGGATTTTGCCACCTTTTGGTAACCAAGCACCTCGAGTATATGAGAAACGAGGAAAAAGGGTGGGGTAGCGCAGAGAGGAGTTTTTGTAGAGTTGTTGAGGCATGATTCATCTCATTCCTCCTCCTCTACTATGATGAGAAGGATGAGGTGCTTTATTGTGTCCTCAATCCTACCGTGAAGGTCTTCAAAGAGACTATTTTAAAACCTTGACCTGTGTGCACGGAAGTTTATGAAACACGTGGCTCTGGTCAAAACCATGCTTGGAAAAACCTAGAAGTGAGAGATATGGGTGACCAGAGGCCCAGTCAGCCTGTTCAGGAGACAGAGTTGTGTGGTAAGGCCTGCACTCTGAAAGCTTGTAAGGAAAAAGATATGTGGTTAAAAAAAGTGTATGATTCCAGATGTAGATTATGTTGCATTCTGTCCTAGATGGAAAAGCAATGGGATTCCAATAAAGTGAGTCTCTTTACAATTGAGATAGAGGAATGAATATGGCCATATAGCATGAGATATGAAGTCAGAGGTGGCCCTCTGTATATCACAGCTGACTACACACACAAAATGAGGATGTCCCAAGATTATATGTACAATCCACCCTCTTCTCCACCATTGCCTCCCCATCATAGCCACTCTCATTCCTTTATCTGTTTTTGCCTTTCTCCAACCCAGTGTTTGTATAGTGGTTAATATTTCAAAAATTTATTTGAATCACCCTCCTCTCTTGCGTTAGCATCTTTCAGCAAGTTCTCTCTGCCTTTCTCATGTCACACAAAATGCTCACCATGGTGGTGAGAGCCCACTTTTAACTTTACCTCAGGCCAACCCTTCTTGTTCATTCTGCTTTAGACATGTGGGCTTCTCGTAGTTCCTCAAGTGCACAAGCTCTTTAATTCCTCAGGCTCTTCACACGTGCCAGTCATGTACTCGGAATGCTGTTTCTATCACTCTTCACTTGGCTGGTGATCTCATCCTTTGGATCACTTGTCATTTATTTGGTGAAGCTTTCTTGAGTACATTTCCCCTTCCTTGTCTAAATTAACCTTTGCTTTCTCTCAGTACCTGTGATTATCAGCTCTTATCACAACTATTATTTATTTGAGAATTTGTTTTTGCATGCCTTTCCCTATGGATTGTGGAGTCGATGAGACAAAGGCCTCTGTCTGTTCATTCACCATTGTGTACTCAGTTCTGAGCATAATGCCTGATAAATATATATTAAATAAATTAATGAGAAAATTCTTTCATAATCACACCTGCACTGAAGCAGCGGCAACTGGTTTGAGAAAATTAATTGATTTTGGTTTCTCAGTGGTGCAGAAATAGCACTGAGGATCTGAAAGGGGTCTGGAAGATATATTTGTATTATTTCATTTTAAAGATGAGAATTCTGAGGGTCCGAACGGTAGAATGACATGCCTCAAAGTTTCACTCTTTCATTGCTTGACTCAAACATTTTCTCCCTTTATTTAGGTTTTTGAACCTATATGAATAAGACGGTGGGCTAATAAGATAGTAAAATAAGGGAGTGCAAGAACCTGACACACATCTTGGAAAATAAATTGGAAAACTCTTGAATGGGGGGAAAAAGACCCTAGCAACCTAGAAACCCTTCAGGAGTTATTACCTGAAAACTCCCTTCAGGAAGGCATCATTTAACACAAAACATATCTGCTGTTATAACCACAGCTGAAAAGTCGAAGTGACACATAAACACACCATAAATTATTGGGTATGTGTGCTTGTTCGTAAATACTGGTTGAAAAGCCCCTTTTCCTTTTTGAGAATAACCACGTAGCTGAAAGACTGGCTTTCAAAAGACTGGACTGCAAAAGCAATTACTCGTTTTTCATTTTAAAATTAGAGAATGTTATTTGTACCCTATGTGGGAATGTAAGTAAAAGCTTCAAAGAGGAAGTTATTTCACTGTGTGCTGGGCTCTGAATTGGTGTCATTATATATTAAGGTATATTTTCTTTCAGACCCAAATACCATGATTTCAGTATTCCTTGACTGTTCTCATACATTCCAACGTTTTGTATAAGTCAGATCATCAACAATTATTTGGTTTCAGATGTTCTAATTTCCACTCTGGAATAACAAGAATGATTGAAGAGGAAAGCTTGCATTCTGCAGCTCAGAGAATAGTTCAAAAGAATAATTCACATCACAGCAGTGGTATTAGTTTGTTGTAGCAAGATATGGAGAAGCCATGGTCTGACTTGTTTTATTACTAGTGACCTCTATTGCAAAGGCATTGCTGCATGTGACCCTTATGCCTGAGTAGAGCAGGGAAAAGTTTTAAATTTGACTCTGTCTCAGGCTGACTTTTTAAGCTTAAGAAAACAACCAATATTTTTGGAATCTCAGCAATCTCATAACCAAATGGAATTAGTACTATATACTCTCAGGGTTGCTAATAGAATAGTGTCAAAATGCATGCAAAGGGATTGCATGGGTTTACATATCTGGAAACAAAGATGTCACTGGACTTTGGGTAAACAATGGTGGACTGACTACATGAATTTCCCACTTAGTCATACCAAAACATCACTAAAATTATTGTCCAGGAAAAATAAAGGTACAGCTGCAAAGAGTAAGGTTACTGGGAGGAATAGCAAGAGTAGAAGAGAGCATCTATGTGGATGATGAAAGGCAAGTGAAGATATGGTAAACAGTTTAGCAGAAGACTAGACGATTGGATTTCTTACAGCAGCTTGTAAACTAGAAGGTCATGGAGCTTCAGAAGCTTCTAAATTTCAAAAGTCTGAAGGAAAATGACTTTCAACACAGAATTTTATATTCAGTCAAATTATTAACACCTATGAAGACAGAATAAAGATATTTTCCAACTTTCAGGGATTCAAAGTAATTACTTGACACATACTCTTTCTTAGAAAACTACCAGAGTATGACTCAGAGATATGAGAGAATAAGTTAAGAAAGAGGAAAATGCCAGGCTCCGTGGCTCAGCCTGTAATCCCGCGCCTTTGGAAGGCTGAGGTGAGTGGATTGCCTGAACCCGCGGGTTCGAGACCCGCCTGGGCAGCGAGACCTCATCTCTACAATAAATCAAAAAATCAGCTGGGCGTGGTAGCACATCCTGTAATTCTGGCTACTTGGAAGGCTGAGGTGGAAGGATTGCTGGAGCCCAGCAGGTCAAGGTTGCAGTGGCCGGGAGCGCCCACTGCACTCCAGTCTGGGTGACAGAGTGAGACTCCAACTCAAAAAAAAAGAAAGATGAAAATATCGGATCCAGTATATAACAGAAGAACTGACACAGAGGAGAGGTAAAGGATACCTATGATAACTCTGCAATACCCATATACAGAAGCTTCAAGGTGAAGTAAGGCAGTAGATGTAGAAAAAGTAACACTTAAAAGTTTACTGGTGCTTTCGAGGTTTCACTATTATAATAGATATGGCATTTGACAGATCTGTGAAAGCAATGTAAAAAACAATTATTGGTACATGAAAAGTTTAGGGAATGAAAAAGACAATTTCTAAATATGAATAAAAATAAAATCCGTGTGAGACTGTAAGAAATGGAGTCATAGTATAATATGTAAATCAGAAGTTAACAACAGTCACAATAGTACATAAATTGATCATGTAGGTGATACGAAATGTTTTAAAACTACTTGGGAAGATGCAAGTAAGGGAACAGAGATTGTGATATAACTCTATTTAGAAGGCAAGAGCAAGGAAGAAAGAAACAAGGGGCTAGAGGTGTAAGAGCTGAATCCTCATCTTCTGTAGCAGGAAACCAACA